AACATCACAGTGCAGTCCGAGAATTCTTCTGAATTTTTCAGATTTAACGAGATTCACCGAAAGACTCATATTTGTAACTTGAGCTCAACCAGACTGTAGAAAGCAAAAACTTTGAAAGATGTTCCGCCATGATCGATAATTTAGAACAATAGCTCGCACACAATACAAAGGCTGTGGACTATCAAAATTATGTTACTATGTCGAGGTGCACCCGTTAGCGCGGCCTGTATGTTGACTATAAGCCTGATCAAAACTGCATAGATGTCTGGCTTAATATAATGATTACAATGCAGCATAGGCGTATATGGGTAGTTCATAAGATGTGCAAACGCAGTTACTCGCATTTTGAACTAATCACCTAATCAAGCAATCTCAGCTTTATTTTCAAAAAGAAACTAACGGCTTCGAAGTACTATTCTTCATGTTTTTGTCGAATCGCTTGAGTTCTTGAGACGGTATAACAAACAAGATAATTATAAATTAGCCATAGTTTTGCTAAGCAAAGCCTGTTACGTTTCCGATATGATGGATATTGCGAATTTAGGGTAGATTACAAGGAACTCACGAGGTGGTACAGGTTTCCCAAGGCGAAAAGCATTTGCGATCACTTCTGGTACGAATTCATATAGCAAATGTTCAGTCTGCTGTTTCTTTTTCTCCAGCTCCTCGGCCAATCCTTTCATTTTTCGCACAGTCTCCTCCAGTCGCTTACTTGAAATGTTACTCATTAAGAAGTGTTTACACTGATGAATAAGTTACATTACTTCAATTCCATTTGACATATTCGACTCTGATTTAACATCACCAAATCCCTCGTTGCATCATGCATGGGCATATCCGAGATAAAAAGCTTCAAATCCAGGATGTCCCGAACAGATGTGACGTGTGGAGAGCAAAGGAACATGATAGAATTTCCACCATTCACGGGCATCATTTGACCTGTAATAGTTCATTTTCCTAATCCTGAGTATTACCTCTTGAAAAATTCTACCTTTGAGAGAAAGCGGTTGCTGGAATGCTTGACTTGATCCTTTTTCCACTTCATTGCGAGGACAATGGTGTTTTAGTTGGAAAATAAACAGCGTGTTTAGATATGTCATAATGCTTTTGTGTGTCAATTGCTGCAAAACTTCAGTAGTAAATCTATAACAATCTCATGTCACTATCACCTGTATATCGGCAGGCTGTATTAGTTGCACAAGCTCAGTCAATTTCAGCATCTTCTTGTCTGCAAGACCGTATTCCACTAGCAGATACTTACCTGAAAAATTCACTTTTGTCTCGACAGAAAATATCGTTGGCATAGAAGTTTTCTTACCAACATGTTCGACCACCATCTGCCGATTGAAACAAATGTGGTAGGGGAAAATTCTTGCGAAATCTTTGAGGTTCAATGGTAGATGCGCAGCCTGAATGCACAAAGTGTACCATCTTGCATTTGCTTCACCCTTGTATAGCATAAGAAAAAGATTCGCAAGTTCACGATACTATCCATAAAGGACTATGGTATACCGTTCCAGTAGTGACAAAGACAACTAAGACATAGAAACGATTATATTCACTTCCAAAGAGATAGAAGTCTGAGATTATGCCGCCTATGCTTCATGTTCTTTATTTTCTGCAATGTTAGCTATCAAAACAAGCGTCTCAAAAGCTGTGCTTGTAGCTTATGAGCCTGTTATGGTCTAAGTACACCCAAAGACGACTTCAGAACTACGATTACTAAGGAGAATTTTGATTACGGCAGTTTACAGCATGTCTAATCCAACATAGGCCGTTTAACTTCAACTAGATGGCAACGTGATCCTCGTTCAATTCGTTCATTTATATTTTCTCCACCTTCACTTGAAGCAGACAGAACTGTATGTTGTGCAGTTAAAGGCAGTGTTCCGGCAGATTTGAGGTTGGTGAGTT